GCCGGTTGAGCTATAGGCGCCAAGCCGTAGAAAGGTATTCTAAAGATTTTAAGTAGAGTGTTCTATATGTATTAACTAGGTGATTTACTATGTTGTTCAAATCTTCCGTAGATTTTGAACACTTGATTTTTATCAGTTACTGAGAGAAATTAGGTTTAAAAATCCTTTTCTAATAATTATATATTGTTCTATTTTTACTATTTTTAAATTACAGATTAATATAAGGGTACAAATGATTAGGTTACATTGTTTGTGCTTCTTAGATAAAGTTCAAGTTGTAAGTGAGCCCTCACCCAGGGGTGTGCCATGTACCCTTACATTGTGTCCCTTAGGTGAGAGCTTATCAATCTCACTCCCTCTTTCTCCTCCTCTCCCTACTTGAATTTAATTGTGTTTTTCTCTTTTGTAGGAGTGTAGTTATTTTTGTATAGGTTTCATATTAGTATTGAGTACACTGCATACTTGCTTTTCCATTCTTGTGATACTTTACTAAGAAGAATATTCAACTCCATCCAGGTTAATATAAAAGATGTAAAGTCTCCATCTTTTTAATGGCTGAGTAGTATTCCATGGTATACATATGACACAGTTTATTAATCCATTCATGAGCTGATGAGCACTTGGGTTGATTCCAGGTCTTGGAGATTGTGAACTGAGGTGCAGTGAACATTGTAATGCAAATGTCCTTATGGTAAAGTGACTTCTTTTCCTCTAGGTAGATACCTAGTAATAGGATTACAGGATCAAATGGAAAGGTTCCTTGCAGTGGTTCTCAAACTTATTAATGCCATGACCCTTTAATACAGTTCCTCATGTTGTGGTAATGTCCACACATGAGGAATGATGTCTTGGTTCCTAGGAAATATGGATTATTGCCATAGCTTCCTGAGTAATCTCCCTGCTTCCATATATCGTCCATCCTGTCAGTCAGTTCTTAATGTAATAAGTGTGATAAGAAGGTAATTTAAAATAGGGATTAGTCAAGGTCTAAAAGAGTGATTTTGAATAAATACCTGAAGAAAATGAGGAAAAAATACACATGGGTCTCTTGGGAAAGAATAAGCATTTGGATCCCAGGAAATAGAGAGTACAGAAATAGAAACACATATCAGAAATACGTGTTTTCTGATGGTGTTAGGTGACCCCTGTGAGAGGGGAAAGGGTTGTTCAACCACCAAAGGAGTCATGAACCACAAGTTGAGAACTGCTTAAAGTTTAAGGTCTTGGAGATTCTTTTCTCTGCATGTTCCACTCTATTGCTGAGACTTTCTACCATGTTTTGAATCTTCTGAATGCCTGTTTCAGTTCTTTAAGGTCTGCTATATTCTTCCTAATTATTTCTATATCCTTGGTGACTTTTTCTTTAATTTCACTTATTTATTGAGCCAGTTTTTGGCCTTCCTCTTGGATTTCTTTTACCATTGTCTTCTCAATTTCATTCATCTAATTTGCCATTCATATTCTGAATTCTATAGAATAGATGCTATGGTTATTTTCAGCTGTAGTCTTGGGAAGAGTTGATCTACTCTGATTTTTCATGTTTTTAGGGTTCTTCTGCTGATTCCTCCTCACATGTATTTTCAGTTTATTTATATATTTATTATACTTTTTAAGCTTGAATGTTAGGTCATCCTTAAATTGTTATTGGGAGATAATCTTGTTGGTGTCTCTTAGGCAGCACCTAGGGAAACCTGTTTGAAAAGTAAAACTGGTGGGCTTAAATCATATTGAGAGAGCTTAGGGTATGAAACCTGCCACTCTCTTTCACCTCTGGCCTTTCCCATACATAGCTTCCCAAAGCTCCCCTATGGGGCTGTACGGTGTGAGAGTTGGTGAGGTCTGCCTGTGCTATAACCAGGTTGGGTGGAGTGGGTTGGGGGCAGGACCTCGAGGTGACATTCCTGGAGTGCAAACAGCTCCAGGATAGTAGGCCTAACTGTTCCAGCCCAAGTGCCAGCCCCTCCCTCAAACAAATTAAAAGAGCTATGGTTTTCACTAAAGTCTCGTCCATAAGACATTGAAACACTTTGGCTTTCACCTGCAGTTGTGGGAGAAAGAGGGGGAATCTGTGTCTTGCTAACTGTTCCAGTCATTCTTCTAGCCTGGTGGGCAAACAAATGAAAAAGCCATGATTTTTCCCCAAGTCTGGGCTAAAACAGATTTGAAATGCCTTGGCTGTTGGCCCCAGTTTGGAGAGGGAGTTCTGCAGCTTGCTGTCTTCTTCTGGAGAATTTCTCAGCGCCAGGTCGCCCAAGGCTATACCCATCCCTCTCCAAGTTGGCAGGAGGGGGATTGAACCTGAACCTCCAGGGGGCCCTGCTGGGCACAAATCTCAAAGGGTAAGGAAAGTTTCCCTCTACTAGGAGGGAGGCGCAGGAGGGAGCGTGTGTTTCCAAAGTTAGTATAGTTTCACAGAGGTGAAGAGAGTGGCACCATTTTGGGCCAGGGAGGTGTTGCACTTAGGTCACAAGGCCACACAATGCAGAGGCCCCTCAGAGTTCCTGCCAGACACATTTAGGGGCAGGGCCTGTCTTTTTTTCCTCCTGTGGCCTGGTAAGGATCCCACTGGTTGCCAGTGACAGAGCAAGTGATCTCTGTAATCCTTACTTCCTGGGTTGCCGTGGGGGCTGGGGTTGGAAACCTCTTTCTTCTTTCTGGTGTCTGGGGTTGGTGTAGCCATCCCCTCCAGGCTGTCTGGGCTGGTGTAGCACTTTGACTTACCATAATGGGAAGCAGGTCTCTGTAGGGGTAGTCTGTAGGGCAACCCTGGAATGAGGAGGGGATGGGCTGGAGCCAAAATTGTTCTCTATTATGCAAGGCAGGATCGGGGCCCAGAGAAGGATATTCTAAGGTGCAGGAAAGCTGGGACTTTTGTCCTTTGTGGCCCTGTCCTGTGGGGTGATAAATCTTGTGTTTTGCTGTTTGCGGAGAGCCTCCTGGGCAGGGGAGTGGGTCCCCCTTGTCATTCTATTATGCTCTGAGCCCCTCCAGTCTGGTTCTCTCTGTAACTGTCCTCTTTTCCTTTCCTTCCTCTTTCTTGTCTTTGTCTGCATGTTTGTGTCAGTGGATTTGCTGAGCACTTTGATTTCTTCCTATGATCTATCCCTCTATTTCAACTACTAGGAGTTTGCTTCAGTCTAATTTTCCTCCTTCTGGACAAGACCTTCTAATAAAAGATGCCTGTATTTGGTCATCTTGCCAAGACACTCTATTTTTAAAATGTTGGCTTTATATATGTTTGAAGCTGTGTTATTAAATGAATACCAAAGTGGAATATTTGTATCTTCCTGGTGAATTGAAAAAGTGTTATTATTATGAAATGACCTTATATATTTGTAGTAATACTTCTTGCCATAAAGTCCACGTTTCCTGTATCAATAGCTTCAGAATCATTCTCTTAGTTTGTGTTTGCATCTAGACCTTCAATCTTCATTGTCCTTATAGTTGTGTGTGTCTCTTTTTAGCAGCATATTAGATTTTTAAAGAAATCTAGATCCACAATTTTTATCTTTTAATTGATGACCTAAATTTATATATTGAAAAAAATTGTATCTAGAACGTGAAGTAATTCTTTGGAAGCAGGATATAAAATAGTAATCCCAAATCATAACCTAAAAAGGGTAGTTAATATAATGAAAGTGGCAAATATGGGGAGGAGGCTTTTCTGAACGGCACTCATACTGATATAGACCATGGAACCTGTGAAAGATATTCAGAAGGTTTCTATCAAGTAGAGAAGTAGGAAATCACTAGAATGTTTTATAAGTACCTAAGTAACCACTTTACTTTTTTCTTTCCTAGACTCATTGTCACTATCAAGGAAATGTTGAAGGATATCCGAATTCTGTTGTAACACTTAGCACATGTTCTGGACTAAGGTTATTTATTTTCTATTATTGATTATAGACCACCACAGTTATGATATTTCGCTGCTATGACTTTGTTCTGTTTATGTTACATGTGGAGCTAGAGGACGATTCTTTTATTTTTCCTCACTATCTCCACTGATACAGGTGTTTCTAATTCCTTCAAAGTTTTAGATTTCCTGGCCTCTTTGTTCTCTTATTTTTTATTAACCATTGAAATGACAATTGAACATGTTTGACTACAAGAGTTGGAGCTACTATGTTTGAGATAGTTGAATCACTGACTTGGAAAATAGTAGAATTACTTGATCACTATAATAGTATATGCTTGTACATCTAGCAATTAATAAGGTAATTTCTGCTGCTTTTGTAACTATATAAATTAAATGGAAATTTGGTTTTCTGGATTATGGAAATCTTTTCAGAATCATCTCTAAGACAGAGTTTAGATTGAAATACTAGACTCAAAATGTCTTGTATCTTTGTTATTTTTTCTTTTGGATTTTGTGAATGTTAAATAATATAGATTTGATTAAAAATACATAAATTTTTATTTTTAATTTTACAGAGGAATATTACAATTTGAAAATGTTTCTTATGGAATTGAGCCTCTGGAATCTGCAGTTGAATTTCAGCATCTTCTTTATAAATTAGGGAAGGAAAACAATGAATTTCCAAGCATAGATAAATACCCAATGGACTATAACATTTTTATAAGTGAAAAAGTGAGTTGCATATATTTTATTGCTACTTTTAATGCAGGTGTTGCTTCTATTTATTTTTAAAATGAATATTAGCCTATTATATAGCTCTAGCAAATATTTTTTCCTTGTGAATGTCTTCATCTTTTCTTAATTTAACAATTTTCTTGAAACCTTTTCTTGCACTAATCTACTTTTTGTGACCCACTTTATTTTAGTTCTTGAGTGTTACATTCTTATTACTTTCTAAAAATTACATTGTGTATATGCAGTATAAATGTAGAAAACAATTTTTGTTTTGATATTCCTGGAAGTTATCCAATAGAAGCAATACAGTAGATCTTTCAATCTCTATATTGACCATCTCAAGTTGACCTAATTTTCATAGACCAGACATGCACCATGTGTACATGTTCAGTACAGTAGGCTTAATTCCTTATGTTGATCACTTCTGTAAGCTGTCTAGTTTGTTATGGTCCCTTGCAGGGGGGTCAAATTACAGGGGTTCTACTGTATTTATAAATGTTGCATTTATGACCAAAGGGTTAGCATTAATTAATTTATAGATGTAATTAAGATGTCATAAGCATGTATGGTCATGTGAATTGCTCAGTGCACAGCCTGTGTAACTGCCTATATTAGATCTCACAAAAGCAACTGTCAAAGAGAAAATTTTTATGTCAAGTAATATTGGCACAAATATGCAAAGTTTATATAACATATATGACAATGTTAGTTGTTCCCAACACATGTTTTCCCTATTTTTTGTCAAGGAAAAAAACCCCTCAGAATTTAGGTGGCATACAAGACTATATTTCTCAACCTCTGTTATATCTAGGTATGACTATAGGGCAAAATTATGGCTAATGACATATGAGCAGTTATAATATATATCACTTCTAGATCAAATTTTAAAGAAAAGGTTATTAGCCTCTTTTTACTTTTCCCCTTTTCTTCTGGCTGTGTGAGATATTAATACATCATGGTCCGTGGGATGAGGGTGATAAATATGTCATATGGGTAATAGCAAAAAGGTAGAATAAGCTTTTGCTCTAGAGGTATTTGCAGAACAAAACCACCAAACCTTTTCACACATATATGTGAGAGAGAAATAAACTCTAATCTGTTCAGCCACCACTCTCATGTCCTAAATAATACAGGGACTATGAAAGGTGCATGCAACACCAAAGTATTCAATGCTAGTGGCTGTATTTGTATAATTTCAAATAAATATTTGTTAACTAAATACTGAACATTTTGTTTGCCTTCTAAGATTTCTGGAGCATAATTTATAATAGTTTAGATGATGCAGTACAGTGGGTGGTGTTGGCACTCTGCTCAGATGCCTTCAGATTCCTTTCTAGTGCATTGTAACCCCTCCCCCCTTTTTGGTGGACTTCTCTTCAGATAACTATCTCTTTTGTGCAGATGGCAAGAGAACCAGAAGTCCTAGAACTAGAGACTCATATTACCTTGAGGTGATCCTTAACCAGTGTCTCACTGGTGTGAGAGAAAGAATATCTCAGTCCCTCATTGCAGGTCAGGACATCTCTGCGGCATAACTTGCACTTCACAGTTTCTTTTTGGGACTCTGGCTGAAAGCACACTATTGTGTGGCTTCCTCTTCTCTTCATCCTGCTGCTTCCACTCCTTAACTAGTGTCTCCTATGAGCACTTCCTTAATAAGTTATCTACACATGAGTCCTGTCTCAGCTCTGTCTTTGAGGGGTAACATGATTTCCCTGAAAGACTTTTATATATTTATTTTAGAATAAAATGATAATTTTATGTTTGAGCACACATATCTGCCAAGTTTCAGCTGTATTGTTTATAAAGTGGCACAGTCTGGAAATGGAAAGTAAGTAGGGAAGCTCTGGGTCCTCAGGGGTGTTGCTGTTTGTTGAGAGTTTTTATCATGAAAGTGTGCTGAATTTTATTGGATTCTTTTTCTGCGTCTACTGAGATGATCATCATATGGTCTTTGTTTTTGCTTCTGTTGATGTGGTGATCCACATTTATTGATTTATGTATGTTGAACCATCCTTACATCCCTGGGTTGAAGCCCACATGGTCATTGTGGATTATTTTTTTGATGTGCTGCTGAATTTGGTTTGCTACTATTTTATTGAGGATTTTTGCATCTATATTTATAAGGGATATTGTCTATAATTTTTTTTGTTGTTGTTGTATCCTTTTCTACTTTTGGTTTCAAGGTGATACTGGCTTCTTTAGAAGAGTTGGGGAGGATTTCCTTCTTCTTGATATTGTGGAATAATTTTTGCTTTACAGGTACCAGCTCTTCTTTGTAGGTATGGTAAAATTTGGCTGTGAATTAGTCTGGTCCTGGGCTTTCTTTTATTTTTTGAATTTTTTTTTTTATTGCTTCTTCAATCTCACTGCTCATTATTGGTGTGTGAAGGTGTTCCATTTCGTCCTAAATGAATCTTGGGAGGTTGTGTGCATTTTCAGTAATTTTTGCATTTCCTCTTTGTTTTTACATTTTGGGCCAGAGTTGGACATTGTGGTGTGGGAACCAGCAACATGAAAACTGAGGCGCTGAATCCCCATGGGGAGAACATGGTATACCATGAGTGTAGAAGCAACATGGCACTTGCTGTCTCAGCTCACTGGTCTGTGGTTACCAGAAGTGCCCGTTGGGGCTAGCAGCCTCCTGCTTTATCCTCCAGAGGTTTCCAGCTTGTTAGCAACAACAGCTTTTGAGCTCATGAGGGTAGACAGGCTCTCCAGCAGCTCAGGAGCCTGTTGACTGCTAGAGATATAATGGTTGTAGAAACAAACCTGTCCACCTACATTTTTTGCTCGTGGGGGTTGATCTCTGTCAGTATCTTGTTCTTTCCTATTCTACTCTACAATTTCTTCCTATGGAATCTCTGGTAGGTTCTGGCACTTTCCCCTTAGTTTTCGTCTAAAACTTTCCCTTCTTTCTGAGATGATCGGGTAGCTGGTGTCTATGGCCAACCATCTTGCCTCCTATATTTGCATCTTATTCTTGTTTCTTGACAGTGCATACCTACTTTTCTTACATTTTTCTTTTATGTTAGAATTTTTTTTTTTTTTTGGAAAGCCAAACATTACATCTCAGTTAACACAGACTAAAGTCAATAATATTTATTACTGGAAATGGACACAATTCTTCTGCTAGGTCTTTAGTGTTGGATATTGAGTTAATCTAGTTAAGATCCCAGAGGAATTTGGGTTTTGCTGTTTTAATGGTTTCTTTTAGTTCACTGTTGGCTCCAAACTTATGTGGTGTTACATTTTGCTTTGTGTGGAAATTGGATTGCTGTCAGGTTTATTTTTAATATCCCTACTTTTGCTTTAGTATTAGGCATTCTTTGTGAACTTGCACCACAGAGAGGATCTCTCCATGAACCTGCCTCTTGTTCTGCTGCTTGCTTGTTATTAGATGCTTTCTAGCTTGGTTGTGAGAGAGTTAGACAACATCTATATGCTTAAACCTGGAGGGTGAGGCTTTCTCACTTATCCCACTGATACCAGAATTTCATCTTCAGTAGGTTCCTTGGTCTTGGTGATTTGAAGAATGAATCCATGGACCACAGATCATTGGTAAGACAGGATTTATTTTACAGAAAAGAATACAGAGAAAAAACATCAAAGCTCCTGGCAGAGAGAAACCCAAGTGGAAAGAAAGCTCTCTCTCTCTGTCTCTCTTTTTGCCTGGGTTCTTTGTTTAGGTGTATATATTAGTCTCATGGGTCCTTTGTAGTTACATTAGGCCAGGACTTTGAATGGATACAAGTAACAAATGAATGGATACAGTCCCTTGGCCAATGGGGTAAAATGAATGAGTGCCTTAATGCATGGATACAGTTCCTTCTGCTGGGGCAAGATGAATGAACACATTAAGGAATGGATACAATCCCTTCCTCTTGGGGTAAGATGAATGAATGCCTTAATGAATGGGTACAATTCCTTCTGTTGGGGCAAAATGAATGAATGTATTAAGGAATGGAAGCAGTCCCTTCTGCTGGGGTAAGATGAATGAGTGCCTTAATGCATGGATTCAGTTCCTTCTGCTGGGGCAAGATGAATGAATGCATTAAGGAATGGATATAGTCCCTTCTGCTGAGGTAAGATGAATGAATGCCTTAATGAATGGGTACAGTCCATTCTGGAAATTGGCTAGGCCTATGATACTTACATGAAATTGGCCTAGGCCTAGGAAATGGGGGGTTCCCTGTTTAGCCCTAAGTGCAAGGGGAAGGAGACACTAAGGCCCTGGTGTCTACCCAGCTGTAGTCTGGCCCCTCTGGCTACGGGAGCCTCCTGCTTCCCCCCACCTACCCTCCAACCTCTTAACTCCAGTAAGATTAGCCCACATCACAAAATCCCTAAACCATAGGTGTTGGCATGGATGTTAAGAAAAGGGAACACTTCTACACTGCTGGTGGGAATGCAAACTAACACGTTCCTTTTGGAAAGATGTTTGGAGATCACTTAGGGATCTAAAAATAGATCTGCCATTCAATCCTGCAATTCCTCTACTAGGTATATATCCAGAAGACCTCTGCCAGCTGCCACTGCACCAAGACTGCCAGGGCAGAGGCACAGGTTCTTCTTTTAGCTTGGCTGGGATGTCACCCGCCCTATATCACTACTGCTTCTCCATCAGGAGGAGGCTTCTAATGCACTAGGCCCAGACATAATAGTTTTCTCACCTCCTTCCAAGTTTAGAGAGTTTTTTGTTTTTCTTTTTTCCCAACCACAGTGGGTCTTCATCTGTGTTTTGAAGGCAACAGTGTTTTCTGTCTTTTCTTCAGCCACTTAGAATGTCTGTTACATAGTGGAAAGATACTAGACAGTGTCTGCTGACAGAGGAACCAGCAGATTGGAGGGTAGGTAGGCGGAGGGTGTCCGGAGGAGGGCAGCAGGAGGCTTCAGTAGCTCATTTGTTACCAAGTCCTGGCCTAATGTGACTACAAAGGACCCAGCTTCTTGCATTGGTAGCTTCTTCCATCTAGGCTTGTGCTGTGGGAGAGGGT